TAGCATGGATAACACGACAACACAATCACTGAACATGTTGTTCGCACAAATAAACCACAATAACAACACTAACAACAATTAATAACACACCCGAATCAACGTTATGCCATTTCGAAGGAAAAGTCCAGCTGACTACCGAACAAAACACAAGCTTTGTGTTATCGCTTATCGTTTCGTCGGAATGAGGGTAGGCTGCGCATGCGGACGGGTTCTGTTTGATTCACGCACAGGGGATGATAGAAATCGGTATCAAACAAACCAAACATCAATTATTGGAAGGGTTTGGGTTGTGCACTGACGGAATACGTTAAAAGATGAATTAAAAGCTATAAATTAACAATAGTTAATCACTTTGTTTGTGCTGACATCTATTAGAGGTACGCATGAACAAATAAACGCAGTATCAATGTGTGCTGCCATCTTTTAGGTATATAGGTAAGCATGCGATAACGGTTTTGCTGTTTCCGTTAAATCAGACAGCTGCGTTCCGATATGTATATGAAAAAGATTCGATTGGGTTTGAAGATGATTTTTTTTTCCAAAAGCTGCGTTCAGCTGATGTTGTCTTTCTTTAATTTCTTCTTGTAACATGGAAAGTGAGGTGTTGAATAAGATGAGATGCATCAAATGGCAGTTATATAACATTAATTTATCTATAGCCCCAGATAGATGAGTGAGAATAATTTCCTAAAGGGACATACATATGTATATACAGGGAGTTAATAAAGTATGTACCTAGACAAACTTTAACCATCCAATCATTGGCCAATTTGAAGACGAAATTTCCATATGAACATGGGTCCGCAACGGCTTTGTTTTCAAGCAAGAGCATATTAGCACTAAAAGAAATGATGATATTGTTATAAAAAATGATAAAAGAATGGAACATAAGTATTTTATTTTAATTAAGTATGCTCTGTGGTCAATATCACACGATTTACAGTTGTATTCAGACCCTCCATGTACCTACGTAGATACGGATAATGTTGTTTAGTGTTTTTTGAAAAAATAGCATGACATTGATTTGTTTTGATCGTAGTACTTTTAATATCAAGCATTGTGCTTTTCTAGACACCTATGATGTACCCGAAAACAATTGAATTAGTTTATTTTGAGCCTCAGCAACTTGTAAAACATGCAAAATTTATCATAGGTTATACAAACTGTTCAATAAATACGTTTCATTATTCATAGGAATATTTGGAACATTACTTGTATTTCTTTAGTGACAGTGCTCTAGTTCGAAAAGAAAGCCGTTACGGCACCATGTTCATATGAACATTTAGTCTTCAAATTGACCAAGGATTCGATGGTTAAAGTTTGTCTTCATACTTTATTAACACCCTGTATAATCCATTCAAAGATTACTGTGGGGCTTTCTAGCGTCAAACTGCAAAAAGGTCTGCAATTCTGTCGCTTGAGATGCCTCGTTGGTTCTATCTGAAACAGGTGTTTTTACAGACAACAGCTGCACAGGAGTTTTTGCAACATTTCGTCTGAGAGACTTCAAAATAATATTATAGGACCTTGCATCTAAAAATTTCCATTGATTTCCACTTCCGCCTCTCTTTGTTGTTACAAGCAAATAATACGTAGCTTACTTTACATTACGATCATGACGTTTCCAACACATTTTACAAATAATTCAAGATGTCCATTAACATCTCTGGTGTTAAAAAGATAAATCCAAATGAATGAATACAATAGCTGGTTTGGTTTGAATCATCGCATGCTTACGTTGCAGTGTTTGGCGCAAAAATTGCGTAGCTTTAGTGCATATTTTTGACTCATTTGACTACCTCTGCCTACCAAAGTGACAACGTTGTATCAACATACTTATACTTACCGGTGTAAAGAGTTACCTTCATTAGGCTTGTGACGCTTTTTGCAAATGATGCAAAAGGTATCATGTCGTGAAATCATGTTACACCAAAATTATATGCAAACACTCGCACTGAAAATACGAATTTAATGACATAACTGACCAAAAATTTTCTTATGTCAGTCCACTTGCAGTCACTTTCATCGTGACTAGAGACTTAGAGAAACAAGTTGTGGGCTATCTAGCCTAAATGCGTTGGTTTGGACTGGTCCATCCAAGAGGACTTAGGTACAAAAAACATTTTTTGTTGACAAAAACCGTTTTCAAACATTATTTCGATTATTTGGTATTCAAGGATACGTACATGAGGAGGTTTGCTCAAAATTACTTATTTCTCAATCGTCCTGAAGTAGGTATTTCGGTATACAAAGTTCAGTTTGACTGATACTCAGGAAGACAGGATACAATTTTAAATTAGGTATAATATTGTTCACCTAGGTGTTTTTTGCCTTCATTATTTACCTATGGAAAAAGTGCCGCTACTTCTCAGTAAGGCAATGGTGTCAGTAATGGTGTTTTCTCGGGTTAGTAGTGAAAAAAAGTAATTATTTTATACTTTAATATAGTGTTTGTCCGCCGCTGGTACAAGCGAATAAAACTTGGCACATTTAGATAGTTTAGAGCGCTGAATCCATTATAAACGTCGAAAAATTGTGAAGCGTTATGGGGTCGAATCTGAGGCAAAATGGTGGCCCCGTTGTTCCTGACGTCAAGCTTTTTTCAGTTACGTGATCTGTGCACCTGATTTCATCAACACACCATAGTCTTTGTCCAGATCATAGATGTACGCAGTGTTTTTTGAAATTTTTTTCAAAGGAAATCTCAAAATATAACAGGACTTTGTCTGCCAAAATTGCCATTTTCGTCTGATCGCTAATACAAGCGAATGAAACTTGGAATTCTTAGGTAGTTTGGTGAGAAACAGATAACTGGAAGGCAAACTCATGCAGGGAAGCTTCTCACATGGCACCTGCACAGCAGTACGTCTTCCAGACAGAAATATAATATTTGCCATTTCAATGCTGGCATACTTAGAGGAGTGTGCGGAGGTAGGCGATAAATCTGACGATCTCCTCCTACCAATGGTTTGCCAAGATGATCTTCACCCTCGTCCCATACGATGAAAGATGACGGAAGACCCCTACGCTACCTGCTCATAACTGCTCGACGTTCTACGCAATGCACATATAGGCAGTAGCATCGACGAGGTCAAGTTCACCTTTAGTTCAGGAATGCTACTCTTCAGAGTTTAGACCACTTGAAAGAAACGATCCTGCTTTGGGATATAGGGACCTAAGAAAGGTGTGGAGAGAAAGACAATACTTCAGATAGACAATGAAGTTCGCTCAAACTTTTGTTGGAGATTCTCACCAACCACTGTAGACTGTCGAGTCTTTTGTCTCTTCTAGGGGTGAAAAGAGATCCGAACGGTTCCTTGTGCTGGGAGGAGGACGATACTGCATTCCACATTGTAGGTTTTTGCCCCATATATCGCAACCGAAGGGCTGAGATATTTGGTGCCATGGAGCTTGACAATAAAGTTGTATACTCAGCGAGGTGACCCTGACCTGCGCTAGGAGATCAGGAAGGTTTGATAGATTAATGGATGAGCATGTGGGGTAGAGTGGTGGGACACTCGGGGTAAGCAAGAACCAAAGCTGTCCTACTTGCCAGGTTTCGCTTCCCACCACTGCTACGATTACGACTATCAGGTAGTATGACATTGAATTCGAATATGATGTTCAGAAATCAAGGATTGTGATGGGATTAAATTCAAAGCAGAAAATGAGTCGCGTAGGACCCCACACTGATCTTAGCTCCATAATGTTGTCAGACCAGATTTAACTAAGGGAATGGTTTTCTTTCATATCACAGGTACGCAATGGATTTTAGAAATGTTGTCGTGAGAAGCCAAAAATATTAGATATACAGTGCTTTTTAGAAAGATTCCTTCTACTAATTTTTTGAAAGGGACAAGTTAACCAGCTTGAGTTCAGGATAATGAATTTGATGTATGAATATTATATTTAAAAATAGCAGTTGAACATTTAATTTTTTTTAATAGCATGGGGGTCATGTGACACCTTATTTTGAAGCTGTACCTTTCAAAATGGTGGATTGACAGGCTGTCAAAGTCGAGCGTTTTTGTACATTGAATCGCTTATAGCTCAACAACTAATCATCAAAAAGTTAAAGAATATTATATCAATATCAGTCAGAAGAGACTATGTATATGTGCAGTGAAATATGTGACTTTTTCCGAAATTTTTCATAAAACGAGTGTTTCATATTACACGTTTAGATACACCTTCCCAAGAGAAGATTGACATAACACACTATACAGGGTGTTTCGAATTCAACCCTCACCATTTTGATCTCGGAAACTGGAAGAGATTCAAAGTTGCTTAAATTAATTTAATTAAATGCTTAGAAAGTTTAAGGTACTTCCGGAGAGAGAGGAAAAAAGACGAATTTTTGCAAAATCGTTATTCTTTCTGACTTTATTTATAGTGGGATTTCTAAATAAATTGCACATTATCATCGCCTATTTTTCTCTTCTACAAGATGACATAATTAGAATTTCAGTAAGGCATTTCGGCTCTTGTCCTCCAGACCTCCAGCATCAACTTTATTTTTTTTTCACGGACGACATTGGATTTTTGCACAGAACAATAGTTACTAATTCTGATTCCAAACATGTATAATATGTAATACATTGGAATGGCCAAATCTTAATTATTTCAAAAAAGCACAACTTCTTATTTTTATTCTAATTCTAATTATCATATAGTCATTTTTTTCTCATTCCAGATTTATCCCAAAATCGCATTTATCCTTTCCTGGCTTTATCTGAGTTAGGATTTAAAAATAAATTGCATGTTGTCATTGTTACTTATTCTCCTCTACAAGCTGGCGTAGTCAAATTTTCAATTCGACACTTCTTCTTTCGACGCAATATTGGAATTTTGTGAATTTAAATGGACTTTTCAGACCTAAATTCAGTGATGTATAATTTCCTTAGTTGGCCATGAATTTGGAGTTGGATAAAAATATAAGGAAATAAAAAGGTATTATGAACACAAAATGAAAATTTTATTGATGATAATAACAATAATAATCATGAATAAGCAGAGGTAAATCATAGCAGATGTTGTTCGTTATTCTTAGGCAAAGCCTGACCCTTCTCTGTGCATTGTACACTCCTCGATTTATTTCTCTTCTTCTCAGTCTTCTAAACTCTGCTGCTATGTTTAATTTGAAGTCTGGTCTGGTATACGCAACAAATAACTATGATAGTTTTAAGGCCTACCTAGAAAATTCTATTTTTCTGGAATAATTGACGTTTGGCAATGCCAATGTATGACATATATATTTTTAAATCAGAATTAAAAACTGTAATTATCTGCACAGAAATCCAGCGCGACGTCCATAAGGAAAAATGAAGATTATGCTGGAAGCCAACAGACGAAACATCATAATGAAACTCTAATTATGTCATCTTGTAGAGGAGAAAAAGGGGCAATGTTAATGTGCCATTTGCTTTGAGATCCCACTTTCCGTCTCTCTCTCCGGAAGTACTTTGAATTTCGAAACTTTCTAAGCGGCATTTTGTTGATTACCTAAATACGCAACTCTGCCCGCATACAAGTTTCGAGATCTCAAAAGTGAGGATCAAATTTGAAATACCCTGTAGAGTTTTGATTATTGAAGTTTGAGTTATATGAAAATGCTCAAATTTGACAGTCTGAAAGATCGCTATTTTGAACAATAGTGAGTTTATATTATGTTTTTATGAAGTACTCACAATGAGCTTCAAAATTGTCACGCTTTTATGCCAAGACGTAGTATTCACTTTTATTACCCCAAATGCTAGGTTTTTGTCTTCCATTGCTGTGAGATGTTCAAAATAAGACAACATATTTTTTTGATCTTTATTTTACAAATATCGCGAAGGCACAAATTCCAAAAATCAATCATTAACAACAAAATATGTTTGTAAAGAATCACAAAAAATCATAAAGTTAACAAACAAAACTTATTAAGGAATAGTAGGTATGCCTAAAAAATACGTACACACTGGATTTGTCTTTTTTGTTCAATTATTAGTTGAGGGGAATTTCTAAAATTAGTCTACCATCGAGTGATGTATTGTCACGTGAGTTATAGCTAAAATTTAATTTGGCATACACCTAGCCAATTTTTGATATCTGGGGCTCAAAAAGTTGAATCCCTTAACTCTCAACCATTCAGAACATGGACTATATGCTAATTTACAATTAAGATTTTTTCATGACAAAATCAAAAAAATTCGAGGTGAGCAATGGCAACTATCATAAATTTTCATATGACATTGTAGATTGGATTAATCTACTTGTAGCAGCGGCTTCACTGTGTAATAACGTGAAGTTCCACCCTAATTAAAACACCTAAACACTAATTTAACAATAACAATTAACAAATAAAAAACAACTAAGTCAAATTAGACCTAAAAATTGTGCATATTGTATGCTTAGCGCAAAATGATAAACTAGCAACCGAAATTGAAAGAACGTCTTTCAGCAATTCCACAACTATACTGGGATTTGTATTATTATAAAACAGCAAAAACATAATTATCTGGATTGTTAAAATTTTTGAGACTGTGATCTGGTCAACATTTTGAGGTTCTTTCCTATTTCAAAATAAAATAAATGGAAAAATTAGTTGGTTTTGTATTTTAGATACTCCAACAAAATGCTTAGAAATTGCGCTAAATCTCGACAAAAGCGTTCTTTCAATTTGATTAGTAGTGATTTTACACTCTACACTTATACACCGTGGCTTGTCTTCTCTATATATAGGCCACAATATAATCCTGACAGTCAACAATATAACAACGTTTGAGCACCATATAGAAGCATCGTAGTGCTGTCAAATTTTTCAGTTATCATGAAGCGGCTTAAGCAGCACCTAGATTATGATCAACAGTTTGTAGATGCATAAAAATAATCAATTTCATATGCAGTAACATGGGTTTAGACTAAATATAGGGTTTCTCTAGTCATAGAGATGTTCTACATCTGCTGAGTTGAATAAGTACACATGGTATTAAGCACTGGCAACTTTTGGGAGCAAGGAACACCTTGCAGAACTAACGGAGTAAAAACAAACTTTTGTCACTAGATGGACACGTCAGTGCCCTGTTGTTGATGGCTTAACCTCGCCTTTACATCCGTGTTGTGGGGTCAGTATGCGGTACTCTATCGTTAGTAACAAGCAACTTATTGTCACAGTCTACAGAAATTTACTAGATATTGTTGTAAAGCAATTGTTGTAATTTGAAACGAAACTAAATAGCTTTTATAAGCATAATAAATCAACAAAACAGACGCCAATTTATTATTTTGTCGAATTACAAGATTTACGATTCTTTTTAAATTTTGCGATATTCCGTTTACCTATTTGACTTGTATTGCATAGTACTTTCATAACAGGCTGCTTCAAAAAGACGTGGAAAGCATCAATTTCCTCAAAATACTACGGAAAGTACCTATAAACGAATTAGGCTCTAGAACATTTTCATGCCAAGATATAGATCTTTCTGAAAGTGTTACATTGCTAACGAAGAAGTATTTTACTTTCTTTCAATCAGGAACATTTTATTTAAAATGTTTTCGCTATTCATATTACTCGAATTTGGATGTTGTATGTGTATCTTGGTTATAGGGTATTACTTAGAACCCATGTTTAAAGGAAGTTTCTGGCTTTTTAAACGTACTTTTTACCCCACAGACATTTCCACATAATTTTGACCACCCTGTATTATAGCCTGTTACCAAGTCTCACTTGTGAGCCAAGTGTATTCCGATCCATGCTTAAATGTTTAATTTTCCAAAAGAAAAAACAGTATTGGTTTCCTTTTAGATTAGTACTCGTATATAAATGTTCGCGATTGTACTGTGACCCCTCAAACAATTAAGATAGCTACACTACATTTATTTTGTTATATAACCTGACCTCTTAACCTTATGATTCGAAGGCAGGTACGGTAACTTCCAATATCACATACGACACAAATAAATGTTTCGAACGTCATAATATATAAATTTTCGGTGCAAGCAACATCCGTGTTAAAATCTATATAATTCAACATTGTGTTTTTGTATCATAAATTTCATGTATATAACAAATAAATTATGAGGTAATGTAGATATTAGATGCGTCGTTTTGCTAAAGTGAGGATGGTTCTTCTAAAATAAATACCATAGTAATCTTACGGTGCAAACATAATGTATATTAGTTCGAACCATTGAAAATTATAGAGATGAGTGAGACTACACGGTCTTATCACATGCCAAAATAATTCTTTATACCTGACCCCCCAGTTCGTAACCGTTGCATAATCTTCTAGAGAAGGGAGTGTGTTTATCAGATTGTTTTATATTGTAACATATATTTTGATGCTTATAAATTGTCTATCTACTTAGATATGGCAAGGCTATCAGCTCAGGATGTGTCTCTATTTAGAAATATTTCGCGTCACTCTTGAATGACAGATGTTATATAAATTACGACACAATTGAGAAAAATAATTGAAACATTGTAAATATAGTAATATCATATGAATTCATGACTGATTCATGCAGATACTATACAACTGAATATGGTACATTTGATCATACAATTTTGTTTTTAAAAATACGTAATTTCATCTGCTTTCCATAAGATTACTGGGGTACATTGTCATCTTGTCACACGTATATTAGTGTATTGTGCTCGAATAGTGTACATACATCAGTCTTTGCACGCTAAATTCCTAGGTGTGTTAAGTGAATAAATTGGCATCTACCATCTAGGAATTATAGCGATTACGGTTATGATCATCTACAATGATATTAACAAGGTAATTATCTAATGAAATGGTATATCGAGCATTTCATATATTTGCGGTACAATTCTGGATAATATGTCACTGAATCATTGTATCTTGCAGTCAGTGTAACAACTGTAGTTTTGAAAATGAGAATTCTGTTATATATTCAATTCATAAACAGGGTCGTGCCGTAATGATATTCTAAAACATTTTCCACTCAATCGTACCGATATGTTAAATACATCTTAGAAAAATGTAAAAGCTTACTGAGTGGCTTTAGTTGATTAGAAATGAACCTTGTAAGATGATGAGTATTTCTAACTGCAAATATGCGATTATATATTCCAGTTTTGCAAGATACAATGTTAGTGTCACAAAAAATATTCATATTTAACATCAAATGTCGAGTGAGCCTTCTCTTCGTAAGGTGGCCAATATTACGTATTATGTATCCCATATTGAAACAGTAATTTGTTACCCATAAATTATTTATAAAATGAAATTAGCGTATACTCCTGATATACAGTTCATTGGGATGTTTTGAAGAAGCAGCTTAGGTATTCTAGATGATCTTTTACAGATACGAAGCATGTTTTACCATTTATGTTGCCAATGTTGACATGAAAACAGATGCACCACTTTGAAAAAAATACATAGAACCTTCTGTTCGATATATTGATTAAGCACCATATATTATTTAACAGATCAACATTGGAGTTTCAATGTATACTTTGGAATTATCCATGAACTGTCAAAATATTGACTCAGTCGGGCACTTACTGAAGAGGGCAGTCTGTCGTTTAAAAAAAAGCTCAAACTGAGATTGTTCATAACGCATCTCACCAAATGAGACATTTATATTTATATTCGAATACAAATTGCTCGAAGACTCTATCGATTCGAAGTATCATATTTTCTGGAGATGCCCAACTATCACAACTTTTTACATGACACTGCAGCACACTGCTCTATGAGGCAGATCCCCATTTCTCCTCACGCTCTCCCTAAGAGTTCTTTCTCTCACCTCCATCTGTATATTTCTGAAATCCTCATTTTGTCCGTATTTGCTTTCGTACACATCTACATCTCCCCCATCGCCACTATTCGCTTCACCACCTTCACCAGCACTATCCTCCTTGAGTTCATCATCCCAATAATCCAGGAGATCCTCACTCGACTTGTCGGCAGAGTAAATGGTGATCTCGTCCTCCTCCAGCTCTTCGGAAAGGCTCTTGGTAATGGTGTCGCTGTCTTCGTCCACTGAAAACTCCCTGCGGATGGTGCCTGGACTCTTAAGGATCTCCACGTCTGGAGTAGTCTCTCTGGTGCGGCACATCCATTCTTTGACAGCCTCTGTGATGGGATACAAGGTCTTTGCATCGCCTTCGTCCGTTACATAAAATCCATCCTGAACCGCTGAGTCTAAATCAGACATGGTATTAGTTTGTTTATCGTCTAAGAGCATGCCTGGACTTACCGAGCCTGTCGGGCCGACCGTTGAAGTCTTAGCTGGCTTTTGGAGGATGTCGGAGCCACCATTCTTCTCGGATGTGATCGTGCTGAAAACGGACTTGAAGAAGTCCTCACAGTCGTCTGCGATGTTGAGAGACTTGACCTTTTCCTCTAGACTGCTGTACATGCCTTTCTGGATGATTCGGTCCAATTCCTGGGAGATTTCGTCGTTGGTTTTATCTTCGGAAACAACTACCAGAGCTGAATCCAATAGAAAATCGTATGACTCAGCCTGTGTAGTAGTTGTGGTTTTGCTTCCTTGTGAGTACTTCTTTTTCTTCTTCTTGGCCTTCTTCTTGTCTTCATCTTCAACCGTCGCCTCAGTTACAACTTCTTTCTCTTTCTCTGGTTCTGGTTCTATGTCAGGTTTTATATCGGGAATGTCAATTTTTTTCACAGGTTTCTCGATTTTCTTCACAATTTTCTTTACAGGCGTTTTAATCTCTTCAAACTTGTCAGACATGTCAACATCCGTGATGATAACCCTCTTTGTTAAAGGCTTCTGGGTGCCCTTCTTCTTCTGCTTTTGTCTTGACGCCACACTTTCTTTTTCTATCTCATCTATTGCTACAATAGCTTCTTCAACACTAGTTTCGACACTCACTTCATCCGGTGTCTCCAGGTAAGTAATAATCTCAGTTTCAATCTCAGTCACAGATTTAACCTCCGTTAAGTCTGGAGTTTCAAGAACAGTAGGCTGATTCTGTGCTAGCGCATTAATAATTTCCTCAACTTTTTCATTAGAGACTTCAACGCTTATGACTTCTTCTTTCGATGGAGGAATGACGTCCACTAGTTGAGTGATGTCGTAACTTTCAAACAAGTCATTTTGTGATTCTTCAACTTCTACCTCAATAGATTGGTCCTCAAATTCTTCCACTGCCTTGATCTTTCGTTTCTTTCTACCTGATACTGGTATCCACTGGTTGGTTTGGTGTGTTGGAGTATTAGGACCCGTGCTGGTTTTGGAAGGAGAATTCGTTACCGATGCAGCACTTTTCTGTTGTGGCTTATCTTCATTCGGTTTGTGACTGATTTGTTTAACCGTTTCTGAATAGTTTTTACCGCTTCCTTTTGAGTATTCTTGTTTAGAATTCTTATTTGACTGCCATTTTGTAGTTACACCGTTTTGATAAGGCCTCCAAGACTTTTTAAACTTTTCTGGGCTATTTCTAATACCATTGATTGTTTCATTTGGTCTAGAATCGCTAACCGCCTCAACTTCAGGATTTCTGTATACCTCTTGTTTCTGTGGTACAGTTTCTTTATTCTTCTGCACATGGTCAGCTTGTCTGAGGTGTGAGTGCTGAGGTATCTGAATTGTTTCGTCATTTCGGTGGTATTGCTGCCTTTGAGGAGAATAATATCCATTTTGGAGGAATTGCTGCTTTTGTAAAGAAGTTGAGCGAACTTCTCTATGTGGTTGTCCTTGTGTGTTTGCATATCCATTCTTTTGATATGTTTTTCGTTGATGGCTTTGATGAGATTCTGTAGCTGCGTTTGCATCTCCATTTCGAAGAGGGGATTGCCTTTGTGGATGTCTTGGGCATGACTCACCTTCATGGAGGTTACTTTGCCTCTGTGGAGAATTACGATGGTTTAATCGTGTTTGCAGCTGTCTATTGTTACTTGCTTCTCCATTTTGTTGAATAACTGACGTTTGTTCCTGTTGAGGTATCGAATTTCTTCTCGCCACTTCGCTTTGGTTAGGTGTCACATTTGAAGAATTTTCTGTTGTTTGCGCGGGAGGTATTGTTGAAACTGCGTCTACTGGTTTCTGTGAAAAATTCGAACTTGTTTCTTCTAGGTGACCATTTTGTTGATGTATATGCCTATGTGGAGAGTTTTGCATGCTGTTACAGTAGTTTCTTCTATACGTCGTGTTGCTCTTGTATCTTTGGTTTTGTCTAAAGGTCTTTCGTTTTGGACTGCCTGCAACGTCGCTACCATTTGTGTTCGACTTTTGTTCTTCCTGCTCCTGTTCTTTAACAGCTTCTTCAAGTTTGGATACGACAGTTGCTATGTCTATAGTTTTATTGCTAGATGACTCTACATTTTCGTCATTGGCAGTGTTCGTTTTATCACAGTCGTCGACTTGTGTCAGCAGATCGTTCGTAGTGGGTTTATCCGTCTCATCTGGTGTCTCCTCCTGCTTTGGAGGAACTTGAGGGACGAACCCCACGAAGTTCGGAGGGGGTGGGGGGAAGCTTATTGGGATTCCTTGCGGAATAAATGCGGAGTGGCCATTGAAGGGTACTAGAGGTATGGGGACAAAGTTTGCAGGTACTTTGATGAACTGCACTGGGATCTCTGTCGGTCGATATGCTCTTGGAACAAACTCTTCCGCATCCGGTTTCAGGTGGAATTTTGGAGGGTTGCTTTCTTCTGCTGATTCAGTCTGTTGCGGTGTTGATTCTTCAGCACCATTCTGGTGATGGACGATTTGAGGTTCGATAGTTTTGGCAGTCTTTTCTTCAGATGTGTCACAGGTATTCTCTTGTAGGGGTGTTTCGACCTGAGTAAGAACTTCCTCTGAGCATGAGTCTGTCTCGTCCTCACTACATTCTGTGCTATTGTGTGCCGTGCATGTCTTCGAAACTTTTCGTCGCCTTCGTTTCTTTATTCTGAGAGGACCTTGGCCGTTCATCACATCTGTAAATAAAGTAAAGCTTTAGTGTTGGTAGAGCGAAGAGAATTTTGAACTTTTTCTCACACTTACATGTGCATACAAACACACACAATTTTGTACTCACAGTTCAGCCCTATTAAGGGTGTGATTTTTGTGCTTAAATATATATCACTTCATCAATCGTCAACCAGCGTTTCTACGAACTCGAATTTGATATCGAAGGTCGACAATATGTCTTCTGTTCTTAAATTTAAATACTGGCTTCGTGAGTACTATTTCCGTGATTCTGTAGACGTATGTAATAAATGAGGTAGAATGCAGGCTAAAGGACAATAACCGTAAAACGGATCTCTAAACAACACCGGCATGGTGTTTTTGTGTGTTCTTCGTTAACTAATAACTTGAGTTTAAACCTTTTTCACCTTGAAGTCAACTGGCGCTAGCCTATGTTATGAGCAATGAAGGATGTGTGAGCAACTTTGTATTTAGTAGAGTATGTGAGTTAAATATAATCTGGTAACTACATTATTTACCAAAAACGCTTGAGAACAGGAATAGATCAGATATTCATGCAACTTATCAGATAAAAAGATTTTGTGGTCAGACGACCTATTACGGAATAATTGCTTCATATGCATGTTTATTACATTCAAAACAAAAATTGACTATCACCAACAGAGATATAGGGTACTTTCTATTAAACTATGAATGGAGGATTCGAAGATCAAAGATAATCAACGAACGTACTTTGAGTTCAACCTGCAAAACAAGATCTATTTTGGTTGAGGTAATCATCTATTAATGATGGAACTATCAATAATCTATCAAAAATTCTTAGCGTCGGATTCAATGAATATTCATGTTACTATACAGGATGTCTGGAAAATGAAGGGTAAACCTACACGTAGGAATAGATCACATGACGTACAAATTAGTTTTTATTGAAATGTTGCATTATGATTGGATTTCGTTACAACATGAGAATAAAACGACACTGATTTCGATGAAATTGTGAATATTTTGAAACAAACCCGGCTCAAAAAATGATATTTGTGGAAATGGCAACCATTTAACCAGATGAGTGTTGGTTTCTGCTAAAAAGAAATGATTGTTGTATATCTCGAAAACTATGAAACTGACTAATCAAAATTCTGCCAAATATTAAACCATCATGTGACCTATTTCTAGTTGCAGGATGATCCTTCGATTTCCGGACACGCTGTTATAACATGTTTACCACATAATACACGTTAGTTTGATTCCAGACTAAATGTTATTACTACAATCATATTCTACCTTATCTATAACTATTGTGATCACAATCGTAACACTAATTGCACCAAGATGAAAAATAGAACAGCCAATATAATCAGACTATTTGCTAACATAAAACTTTTAACTATAAAACTTTTAAAAATAAAATGCTTCTATCAGAATGAATATATGAGGAACGTTTCTCTAGATATCTATGCCCTGTTAATTAATGTTTCACCAAACCTTTTTGCTTACATCAGATTTATGATCTTTGATATATATTGCAGTTGTTCGTCCATCGATAGCTTTAATTTGATTGAATTGTGTTTGGATGCCGCTCTCTTATCCAAACTTCCATCCTACGGTCTCCAGGAGAAGCTTTGCAGATGGGTGCCTAACATCCTCTCTGACCGTAAGGTATCCGTCGTTATTAACAGCCTCAGCATCCCACAATGTCAACACGCGTGTTACCCAAAGATCAGTTTCGGGTCCGACATTGTTCCTCTTACATATTAACGACCTGAACTCCTATACGATCAATCCGACCTAGGCTGTCAGACTGATGGATGAGTCTTCTTTACCGGATAGTTATGTCAACGGGTTTTGCTTCTTAGAGCTCTCCTACATGATGCCGCTGCACGATGTGACTGCCAGACAGACCCACCTAACATAGACCTCCCATCCTGGTAGTTTCAAGCTTCATACATCTAGAACTGGTCGATACGACCGCTCCTTGTCCCAAGATTTTGAAACAGTCTACATATCTGAGGAGACTTTTCCCGTTCTACCAGCCTTAGGCAGTTAAAAGTTCGGATTAAGAAAGCTTCTGCAACCGCCACATAGCAGCCGCGGCGCCTACGCGGCGGCCTTTGTATATAAAACTATGAATTTTATGAGAACTAGACTTTAACAAAATATTTTGCTGAACTGTTAAGCCTAAAGCACAGTAGGCCACTAGTGACCAAACTGAGACACCAGACTTGGATGCATAATAAGTCAGTAGCACTTCTGTTCAATATAACTTTAGAAGATGAACAGAAAGAACCAAAACATCATATAGCATACGCAAGTAATGATATTGACCTCCTCGAAAATACAGTGTTATCAGTTAAATAAGATATGTTTGGATGAGTAGAAGCTAATGCCAAATAGATGGGAGCTAATAACTAATGATGATGATAAACCCAAATGCATGTGCATCAATAGGCAGGTGGCGTATCAAGTACCTTGGAGCATATGCTTGCATAATAACCTTATTGAATCGAGAAATCTCACATGCACCTATAATATCCGGATTTATAAGTCCGTCATAGAACCCATTGCCATGTATGGCTGTGAAACGTGCACGACGACGAAAGCAAAGAACCAACATTTTTAGAGCTCTACATGACCAAAGCACAAGCGAATATCGCGTAAGAACGAACATCAAGTTCAGACGGTTGTTTGGGGATAGTGGTATAGTTCAAGGAATGCACAGCGATTGAGATGGTCTGGCCGCGTTCAAAGACTTAAAACAACGGTTGAATTTATATGGAAGGAAGAACCAGCAGGTAAAAAATCAATTAGTCGCCCCCATATGAGATGGAACAATAACATCAAGTAGCAACAATGGACTTAAACTTTGACCGAGCACCAGATGGAGGCAAATTGTGAATTCAGTCAAAACCTAGCGCTGTTTATTGTTATCGATATCAATTCTTATCCGTTAAAATGAAGTAATACGTACGATCGTACATCTAGAATACTCTGACCAATGAACTTACACAAACATTCAACAATATCTAGTGGTGTAAGTTTTAAATACACCTGAAGCAGTGTTTGGCTGTTTCGAGTGTATAAGCCTGATGTCTAGCTGCATTTTTGGCAAACAGACAAGAGCCATTTATACGAGCGGTGTCATTACTCGCGTTATAGCACAGTGAAATTATATGTGATAAAATTAACATTACAAAATTTATATTTTTTAAAACTATCACGTTTTCAGGTACCTAATTCAATCTGTTGAAGCCATTTTTTTCAAAGTCCACGTTCAGCACTATTGTGCTGTTAGAAAGTGGGTGACTTGAGGAGCCATTTTCAAAAATGATCGATTATTTGCAATTGATACGAAACTTTTGTTAAGTAAATAGGTGTGTTGATCAGGAGTCTTGTGTTCCCAGTGATATCGATGGTACGCACCAGAACATCGTTTTTGACCTCCAAATATGATTTCCAGACATTTTAGGAATTTTTAATGGTCATTTTCATAATCAGCATTCTCAACTACCCCAACGAGCCGAGCTTCGTCTACTTATATGTACGGTGGACCAAAATGTGAACTGCACTGTGAAACTATGAAGTTGGTATGAGTAGATCACGGATCTGATAACAATTTCTGAGGAGATGAACGGAAGACACCAAAAGACACATTTTTTACTCAGAATAGGGGCTTTGATACACTTTAGGACACGTTGATGGAAATATTACAAATCAGGATCTAAGATTGTAAACCACGTTTTGTTCACTTGTAGTCAAACGTTGCTTAACGACACTTTTTTAAGGGGATTTAATAAAAATACTTGCATATCTGAGATGACTAAGTATATAAAAGTTAAGCTTAGAGAGGATTACATCGTCACAACCAAGCAATAGTTGATCTGAAAAATAGCGATTTCGGCATTTTGTACTATTCGAACCACCCCTTGTTGTCGAGCTCAAATACTATCAAGTAGGTATCTATTTATAGAAAGAGCAAAGGATAACACGATTCTTGCTGATAAATACTATTACGTATTTTAAAAGATAAACTAGGGCGTTAATGTAACTTTACCACACCGGGAACTATCCTTATTTATACGATTCAAGGCTAAGGCCCATCGGTGATACAATAGTACGGTCTATTTATTTTTTTATTTACTTCTCAAAAGCTGTTTAAACTCAAAGCAGTACGTTTTTTTTTAGTCTTGTCTCACCACCATGAACATTTTCTCGCCAACATATCAACCTCTCACATTTACGCTTGTCACTGTCAGTATGACAACTTGCTTGTCATGACCGTGCGAGTTGTGTTTACCCATGTCAATCTTCGATACAAAACATGGTGCCTGAAGATACAATTACAATATCGACAGTCTGCATCACAAGGATTTTCAGAGATCGAGTATGTGCATGTGTGTGCAAGAGCGAAAAGCAGTTGCGATGTGCAATATTCAACTTCCCTTAGGTAAGTTAAGCTACGCACATGGTACCACCAGTCAACCTGTTTACTTATTTGGCACTGCCAACAACCGTTAAATGAACTATAATGGTTTTTGATATACGCGGCTCCAAACTTGTTGCCGTCTATTCCAGCAATTATTTTATATTGCCGGCTTGAAGCCTAATTTTCCTGGTCTAACACAAGGACTGTTTCCGCGCACAGATTTGACAGCGCTTTGACGTCGGTATAAGACAGGGAAGCTGGCTATTTTCGGAGGCATCATCGTCGTTCCATACGCAACTACAATCAGAAGGGTCACGAGAACCAGTCACGCTCGAAAACCACATTTAGATACAACTTGGTTCTCCATGACTATATCACACAAATTTGTATGGGCGGACCAAACTGTTGCCATAAACCTCCTTTTAAATTAATTATTGGGGTAAAATAACTTCACACTTCCCATATTTCTTTATTCTTAAAATAATTCAGAACTAACATTTAAATTTGAGGCACGAATGCCCCAATCTGGTCATGTGATCCTCCTTCAATAAATGTACGACCACCCACTGGTGGATCTGAGATTTCATAACATTCATTAATTTAATCCCGGAGACGAAAGTCTATCAATAATTGTTTTTTTTATAATTTCCTCCACTATCATTGTGATACAATAATTTAAAAAAATTTGTCAAGCGGTAGAAAACACATGTTTTTTATGTCTTTTATTGATATTTTCCTCAAGCGATAATCAGAAAAAGCTAGTATTATTTAATATATCATGTAATTAGTATAATAAAGCACAGTTCTTTTGTAAGTCATAAGTCCTTTTGTAGGATCTGTAACATTTTGGGGTACAAAATTCCCACGATATCCCCTGTTGGATCTATTTTTTATTTATAAAGAATTTCGACAGTCGCGGGTTCGAATCCTTGCCTCCGAAATTGATTCCTTGCCATGGATGTTGTGTTGCCTATATCACGCACGCGTTGTGTTGTCGAAACGAAAAAGATGGAATCGGTATATAGTGTCGTTGAAATTCAGTTGATTTAAGAAAAAAGTCGGTAGAAGAAAAAAATCAGGGTCAGCGCAGGATCAGCGGTGGATCAAGGACCTTTGCATCACGCAGCGCTCCTATTCCTATTCTTGTTCATAAGGTTGTTTAAATTTGTTTGCTGTACCTCTGGACTGGAAACCTCATCATCTGACATTTTGATTTAACATTTAATTAGAAGCAGATCAGCTTTGGTGTTCTTACGGCTTGTCCGGTGATGCGGTAATGACGCTGACCTATCAGCTTGTATCAATACACGGAAAGTGGGGTGAGGGATATGCGTACATAATTATTGGCAACCCAAATCTAAATCCCTAGTGTTAGTTGTTTAAGTTTTTTTGGTGAAAACTATAAATATCTGAATTATTTTGAATTTATTATTTAAAAAAATGACGTTTTCGGTATTTCCGTGAATAATAAGGTCGCATTTCGGTAGAAATACTGAAAAACCGGTAGGCTAGGCAACGTTGCGGCACCTGGGTGCAATATTAATGATGGGTACATCGCTGGAGCTGGCTTATTTTATTAGGGCGTTATTAAACGTTCAATAAAGTAAGGCAGTAATATTTCCTGGCTGTATTTGACATCTGAGCAGGCGCAGTAAAACAAAAATAAGACTTGGAATTAATAAAGTTAGCGCCTGCCACTATTACAGGAAGCTTAAAATCGTGGCTCAGCCAAGAATATTTTCTTTCTTTTTGTGCGAATACCTTACTTTTTATAGTAGTTTTCGCAGATGAAAGAAATTATATACGGGAAGTAGTTTCCTTTGCCATTTTCTCGCTATTATTTTGTACTGTTCGCTGATTGTAACTGTTGAATATCATGAACCCTTTGGTCGTAAAATTGAAACCAAAAAGACTGTTATTTACCTCCGAGTTGCGAAACACGAAGAAGTACAAAAACAATAGCAACACTTCATATAATCAATAAGATTATTGAAATTAAATCAGTCTTTGTACACTTTTGAATAAGATAAAAGTTTAATTTATCCCAATATTTTTAGGATAGAAATTGTACACGGAAATGCACCCAATAACTTTAATTCTGAAACAATTTTAAGATCAGTCTCTATTTGTCACTATTAATGTAAGGTCATTTGCTTAAATATGTTTATAGCAGACTTGACGAAGGTGAATAGGTAGTATCTTTACTATTTGATCTATCTAAGGTACTCGACACTATAGACAGCAACATACTTAAGCAAAAATTATATACTGTGGGTATTAGAGGCTTCTGAATTAGGTTATATCTTACATGCAGCATAGAAATCTGAATGTTAAAGTTGGACGTACAACATCTGATATACAATATCCTGTTGAACATGCTGTACCTCAGAGATCTGTACTGGGACCACTGCTGTTCAATTTTTACGTCAGTGATTTGCCCAGTCATATTTCAGAGGGATATACAACCATGTTTGCAGATTATACCACTATAACTGCAAAAAATGTCAATCACCTTCACTCCAAAATTTTAAGTGTATTCGACGAATTCTCTGCTTGGTGTCAAAGAAATCGGTTAATCTTAAATTGTAACAAACCTGTTGTTATCAATCTTAACATCAAACGTACAGTTGACTTTGACTTGTACATGTATGGTCTCATTTTATCGGATTATTGTAAATTACTTGGTACATATTTCGATTGTAAACTAAGTTTTCATGTATGTAAAACTTAAGTAAAACATATTTTGCCATTTTACAACTTAAAGATGTCCTAAATGAAAAAGCTGTTATCAATGTATATTATGGGCTGGCTTATAGTCATATGTCTTATAACATTATGATATGAGGGAAATCTTCCTAAATTAATAGAGTATTTGTTGCCCAAAAAAGAATCATCAGATTAATTTTTGGAATGAAGCCACTTGACTCCTGCAGAGACATTTTTAAGTCACGAAAAATTCTTACATTACACTGTATTTATATTTTGAAATGTGTAACTTACGTTAAAAGGTTTAATAATCTGTTCCCAAATATTATTGCTCATCATAATTATAATACTAGAAAGCAAAATTTAAAGATCATCCATACACATACCACGACACATTTCAAAAAATCACCCTACTATAACTGCATCAAATTATACAATAAATTACCAGCTGAAATACAGAAAACTAGTAATTATTATCGATTTAAAAACCAAGTTAAAAAATTGTTAACACCAAATGCATTTTATAACGTAATATATGGAACGTATAACCTTGAGTACTTAAAGATGGAATTGAACATTTATATGTATATGAATTGTTATATTTATATTGATTTTAGTTATATCTTTATATATTTTATTTATATTATATAGCTGTTGTATCTTTTTTTTTCACCACTTGTACTATTATTCTGTATCTAAGTGGTTAATAAAGATAAAGATAACAGTGGATACCAGTATTTCAATAACTCGCTAGTATATCAGTTACCAGTAGCCGTTAGATGGCTCGTGGAGTAGTACAGTGCTGGAACATAATATTTTTCAGGTTTGGATGCGCATAGATGGCCTACCGATTTTGTCTATGGATCTACCGAATTTCAACAACAAAGTATACCGATTTCATCTTTTTCGGTTCAAAAATACTGACTACGGGGTCGGCAAAAAGGTTGGAAGGTGTCCTAGTTGCCAGACTTCGCGTCACCACTACTTTTGTCGCATCTGTATGTGCGACGTCTGTGATAATACAGTAACATTATTATTATTCGTAACTAAACATTTAAGGAGATAATAAACATCTTTATGGGCACAAGATAGCACGCATTATAACTGAAAGGTTCACTCAGTAATCCCACGTACACTACACGCTTGCACACAGGATAAATACTAAAAAAACAACGAGTACATACCATTCGTGTGATTAACTCCATTCCCATTTTGGTAGGCCATGGGACAACTCTGATGATGGCCGCTGCTATAGTCAGAAACGTTGTTCGTCTCACCACCACTCAAGTCTTGACTAGTTGCTTCTTCGTTATTCGGGCTCATCGATTCCGTCTATAAAAGAAGAAGGGAAAGAGGTGAGTATAATGAATATGGTATGAGAATCTAAAGCTTCCCATTCACAGTCACTTTAAGGGACCGTTCAAACATTACATAAGCAGATTTCTTACATCAACCTCCCCTCTCCATTGTCGGCAAAAGTAAGCAAATCTCTGACCCCCACCCATGCTTCCTTACAATTTGAAGCATATTCTCGTTCGACCCAACATACTTTGCATTAACATGATAATCATCTATTGAACTTCATACCTCTTCTAATACATTTCCAGCAAGCTTGGAATTGGATCTTTCTAAATGAGGCCAAAAATGGTCATGAGGCAGTATCAAACCAGCCAATTCTAGACCAAGGGAGTCATTCTGCGCTCTACTCGGTTATACAGTACGTTAATCAATTCTACCAATAATCATATCCATATTTGGGGAATCCATGAAGATGCGTTTTGCTTTCGAGCATAGAGAAGCAGGGTTTCCATATGTGTTCAAGTCAAAATCGACTAAAGTCTAGACCCCCCATCCCCCATGTCATCAAAAATAAACAAAGCGACGACCTCCTACCCCCGTTAGTGCTTAGGTGATAGTTGAATGGCCTCTGACACTCTAAAACTTAAACTGATCATGCCGGTAGAATTATCGGCCTACAGTAGAACGTCTGATGTTTGATCAAATATTTAACCAGGCCAAAATGGACCGCACTGTTCCACTTGGAGCCAGCGTGAAAGGCCGTATAGAAATGGAGCAAATGGAAAAATCACCGAATTTAAGGCGGAATTCGCTGGGTATTAAGTTGTGGCAGACATTTCACGAACTGTGATTCAGTAACTGATATTTCTGTCACGAATCACAGCTAGTATCAAATACCGTGAAAAGGCGTGAGCTGATCACGACTAGGGGAACTAGGCGCTTTATGGCAAAGGCGAATGGTATAATAGGATCACGGCGTTAATGTTTCAAAGATGCGCAAGCGCGGTAGCCGCTAAGATCAAAGATCGTATACTACCGTCGCATAACCACAGGTCCTGCAGGCGATATCGCTTCTAGCTTTTGGTAGTTCGAGTCATACGATTTTATCGCGGTATTTTGCTCAAAATAGCAGTAAATCAGTATGATCATAACCACTCTTCTTCATGTAAAGATTATTATGAGCTCGTAATGATTAGGTTAGGCGCTCCAATTACACATTACTCTGAATAAGCAATTATACATCAAAGTCAAATTTCGCTAAAATACCATTTTCTGTACGCCATTACACAGGATATGATAGTTTAACACTCAAAATCTTTTAAAAAAGTTTCGAACGATACTGGATATAATTATGGCATTACATCTCAGTGCACCTGCACCGGTTACGGTGCGATTTGTCCCCTATGACAGATCAGCGGAACTCACCCATCGTTTTTCGAAAGTCGTGATCGCGTCATGCTTTTTAATCACTGATATCGGAAGATAACCCTATCAGACATTACAAATATTCAAAAATAACGATATCATCCAACTCTAATTAGTTGACAACGCGGTGGCCACATTTGCAATCGTATTGTCGTTCATGTTCTAAACCGCTGACAGAATGGGTGTATATAGTCGAAATCACGAAAGATGACGATTACGTCATCATTTTAGTCTGTAGTAAAGACAAACGACAGTGATTTGTGAATATATTTAATGAAGTTTCTGATATGTTAGACAGGGACAAACAGAATTTTATTGTCTAAATAAACTGTATTGATAACTTGCATGTATCCGACAAAGATAGACGATGTTTTCATGTTGCATGATCGATCATGTTTGAAAGATGAATAGTTAGATTATACTGAAGCAGGTTATGTTGTCGAATAATACTTTGGTCTTTGGTGTTCCTGTCTTAAGGTATTCTACTCATAACTGTTTTTTCAAAACAAAAACTCACTAAAATTATTATTAAGGTATCACTCAAAACCATGAAATAAAGTGAAAATAAAAATAATCAGTGAAATAACCTAACTTCGCAAAATCATAATCATAATTTAAGGTATGACGTAAGAGTCATCTTTCATGATTTTGACTGTTCGTTTTATGGTGATTCCTATTAAGCATGCTAATTTTTTTTCGGTTCAAGATGGATTTTTTGACAATGCCATTCATGTTTCCGTGTTTAATCCCAGTTTTGTTTTTGTTAGAACAGCGTGTCATTTATGCACTTTTCGGTAAACATAAGTAAAGAAAGAGCCTCAGAACTTATAAATGGCTGAACAAATTTCAAATGGTGCAGAGAAGTCAAGCTTGCTCCCGTTTTCCAAAATTTAAATATATCGTATCCGCAATGATAGCATACTATTTACTACTCCTAATGTATTTTTTCAGGTCACCATGTTACAAAACCACCAAAGCTCTTAGAGACCCATCATCATCATTCAAGTATCATTGCTCCTTTGCCTTATGTTATATCACATCACAAAAAGCCATGTCACTCATTTCCGTTGGTCTTTCTGTCGGTCTGTCAGTCTGTCTGTTCGGTAATGCTTGGCCCGTCTATGGATGAAAGTTTCACACAAGATTACTGCTCTGCGAAGGTGAAAAGCTTTGTAGTCTTTGGTAAATTGGTGCAGTGGAGGCGGAGCTGCGGCACAAAAATCGGAAAAAAATATAAACCGCTCAAACTTCGTTATTTGAAGATTAAGGGCTAAAATTTGTAGGAGTTAAAAATCAGGGGCTGGGGTTGGTGGGGGGTTGGTTATGGTACTGTCACAACTGATTCGCCAGCGATCAGGTATGGGGTAGGGGCGACGTCGCCAGATGGACGGTACTGCCGCTAAGGCGGGGAAAGAATGTCATGGACTAATTACAGCTTGTTTGACTGACTTGATCCGTTAAATTTTTGTTATGCATGTTCGAAACTAATTTTTTTCTCAGACGATAAAGAATGGGCTGAACTGGGAAGTCAAACTACTTGACGCCATTTTTTTCATTGGATTTAATTTTTACGAAAACTAATCACTCCAATTGATAACACTAGTAAGTTTGTTGCTCAACATATACGAGTATATATCGCTTACGAAAATTGACGGTTATGTTTATACGTATTTCCTTGTTTTCAACAAATCTTCCGTACTATTCCATGTATCCTCAAATCCACTATCTTGATTTATTAATTATATTTGTAGTGTAACACTGGATAATATGTTAAAAATTTTGCGCCTCTTATGCAACATACGTAGATTGGTGTTATCAACAATTTATGTTCGATATAATGTAAATATAGTGTTTTAGTGTAAATATCATGAAACGATTCGATAAGCTTAGGCACATTTCGGAAAAAATATATTGTATTATTGAATTGATACGGATGTCAGAAGGTTTCTATTAGATTTTTTTATGGAACGCCGACAATCTTGCTTGCATTAATACGGTTGACCAAGCACGCCTTTTTAAGGCATTTCAATTAACATCATTTCATATGGTCTCTGAAACTTTCGATTGATTTTGATACTGGTTCTTTAAGTAAGCTAAAAATCTACCCTTCTACGTATGCGTCCATATATGGACGCGCATCGTGAGTTTTCAAAAATTCTTTCGGATCTCCTGGGTAAACTGTATCTGATGTCAGTTTTCGAGGTTCTTAAAAATCGGTGCCTCAAATAAACTAATAGTGTATGAGAATAATAGGAAGTTTAAAAGAAAATGTTCAAAAATCTTTACGTATCTGCATTGTCAATCAATAATTAGCTGTTTTGAGTGAAACGGGTAAGCGGATCTGGAATGTGATGTTTTTCAACAAAATAGACAAAATGCCCCAGAAGTTACATTTTTACTTCCTACGCCACTGCCGAGGAAGAATTGTAATCGTGAAAGGATTCATAAAATGATATATTTTTTAGATGTTATATAACAAATGCATCACAAAAAAACAATATCATTTATTTCCGGGGGACTGTCGGTCTTTCTGAAGCTCTGTCTGTCCGCTAATCGTTGGAAAATATATAACTTGGAAAGTATCGCTCGGATTTTATTGAAATTTCCACATAAGGAGACTACTGTGCCAAGGACACAAAAGCCTTATAGGTTTTGAAAATCGGTTCAGTGGCGCTGGAACTACAGGCGAAAATCGAAAAAAATATAAATCATCCAGACTTCGCCTTTGACATTTCAGAGGCTCTTGATGAGTTTCGGAAAAATCTATTATTATTTATGAGCTCTAAACACATCAAATTCCTCACACATTTACCTTTAACACTTAAATTGATATTTCAACCTGCCGACGCCCAGCGCAACCCAAAGCACCATAAAGTTGCCCACGGTCTGAATGCAATAAAATCCTAAACTATCCAACAGATTTTCACACTGCTCACCATCAGATAGAGGAAATCATGGAGTTTTGTGTAAATTGACGAAAATGACGAAATTGTTACCCAATGCATTAAAAATTTGCCTATAAAAACGTAAATGTTTGGTGTACGCTACAAAATATATTACTGTTAAATAAAATAAAGTACTGCATGTTTATACTACTCATCATGATTCACAGAAAAGTCCGTTAGGCTTAACGAATGTGCTTAAGCCACAATAATCCATTTTTTTTACTCAGGGCAGGGAGGACACTAACGTTAGGGTGGGAACCATGGAGTATGGACTTATTCTGTGGGCCTGTTTGGCTGACATGATACATTTAATTTTTCTGTTATACATGTTTGTATCTAGCTCAGTCGGCTAACTTGCTTCAAACATAATCCTTTATGAACTGATGATAGCGTTACGTGGGAAGTGTAGAATCTACCTACGCGTGACGCCATTTTTCTACTCTAAATAGTGCTTCGTGGCCCTAAATTATCGCGGTGGGCGCAAAAATGGGATGTCAAACCAATGCAGGTAACTATATTGACGTCATTCGTATATTATATAATAACGAAAAAACTGCTAGTATTTCAAAGGTTATCAAGCACCTGGCTTAATAGATAAAATATCACACACGCTAACATTGCTTATCATTTTTTTTACATATTCCTAACTCTAACATAGTGTTTAAGTAGGTGCACTGAGAACCACTTCACAAGTACTCGAAATAACAGATTTAATGACATAGCAATTCAAATAAAACGGCTAGAGATTATACAGCGATAATACGTATTTACTTTTAATGTTTTATTTACCTAACACGGATAACGCAAAATTGTTATACCTATTATGCATACTATGATTTTAGATATTCACACTGTTTTGTTATCTATCCTTTTTGAATATCTATGCTCCCATTTATTGTCTACTAGCTTTGAGCACCGTGGTTTAACCGGGCGACTAATAAGGGACCCTAATTCAAAAGGACGCAAGTTGGCTGTCAGTTTACTCATGTCGTTAAAGGTACAAAACGTGATCGGAAGTTCATAGTATTACTTGAAAACAATGTTTTGTAGCTGTTCCCAGCTTGACGCTGACGGTGGAGATTATGGTAATTACCATGACAGTTGATTGCAAAAGCGACGATTTTTTGAGAATAAAACCATGCCTACAACCTTCCCCGGGTATCAATTCATAAGTGCACAAATTTTTACGCTTCTCCGTATTGTAGTTAAGACGTGAAGCTGACAGAATGATGATATAGAATCACAAAGCATTAGAGTTTGCTGGCTAACAGATAACGACACAAAAAACCCATAACTATTTATTCGCAGTATTATGCTAACACCAATCAAACCTATATCAAGACGATCACGCTAACAAAACAAATTTCGAAATACAGTAAATGCAAGATACTATTAATCTATCATTACTCATTTCGGTCGGACTATAGACTGAGCGCTTCCGGACTATACGTCTCAATTCAAATTCCATTAAGCCGTTTGGGCTGTAGCTCGTGAAATAGATATTTCGAAATTATTTCCCAGGACAAAAAATAGCCTATGTGCTATTCCAGACTACAAGCTATCTCTATACCAAATTTCATTTAGCACCCTTCAGCCATTTTGGTGTGATTGAGTAGCAAACATTCACGCTTTCTGATTTAAAGTATTATAAGTAGGGTTATTAAGAACAGATGGTTTTTGATGCTTTTGGCTTCAGACTTTTATCACATGTTGCACATGCCGATGCAACTTGGCGCACTTTGCTTGTTGCTAGTTGCTTGCTGTGCAAACTGTCACATAATTGTGTCGGCATACGCCACGACGCATGTTTCGGATCAAATTTGTTGTAGGTAATGAAAATAAGAAATCATAATTACATTTAAGTAAGTGGCAGAAATGGAGTAAATTGTGACGTTTTAGAGGTGTTCCTTGATTTAAAAATAGATATATTGTCGCCTAGACCCAATTTATTTTTATGTTAGTGAGTTATTGTGAATCTCAACAAAAATCTGAAATAAACTTCACACCTACAAGACAGCACGATAGTTTTATAGCTCTGTTGCAAAAAAAATCAATTCAGGTATTTCTTTTTCGGAACATCCAGTCACATAATGCTAAGAACTAGTACCGACTCTACTGAAAATATTTTCCTATGAATACATACAACCTACAAAACGCTAATGTTAGCACATAGTGTTATGTTGCGAATTTCACTTGGTCTTTACTTATCGTGGAAGATTATGAGTTTCTTGATGGTACGTTATAATAAAATGGGAAAGAAAAAATCTTCACTTTATGACTCAAGATTTTTGGTTTCAAATGTAAACCACAATGCAATGATGGAAACAAAGCATGCAGAAACGCAAACAGGTGAACAAGACATCCAAAGTGCTCCCTTCAACCGTTAATCCGACGCTTGACTTGCAACTGCGTGAATAGATTTTCAGGAAGCACATCATCCTACTCCTTCTGCAAAGTTATTATTATTTCGCCCTGTATACAAAAATATCCGTAATATTATCGACAATGATTTACTAACGTCTAGCAAGAGCACACTGAGTAGGTTTGTTAGCACTCTCAAAATAAAATATTTCAAGATAACGCCTTTATGTACACAAGTTGATAAGGAAGCATCATTTTTATGAAATTTACAACCTACTGTCTCAACACCGAATATTCCCATTCTAAAGTATGTTCACCTCTCCTAGATTTAAGTTGCACAACTTGTTGGATATAATACCTCGAGTAGGTGCTTTCAAGTTGGCTAGTTGTATCAATACGTTTTCTGTTTGATTTTGAAATATATATATATATATATATATATATATATATATAACAAAAAGTAGAAAAGTAATGGGCAAAATCCGCAAAAAGGAGGAAAGTGGATTCGAGCAGAAAATAGGATAGGTAACCCGAGCGATACCTATTTCTGCTAGTTGGCTTCATCAGGCCCGAAATGAATGCACATATGCAACTACAAAAGTAGATACACATGCCCACATATCCGAATACGGGTGTAACCTGAGGAAACGAAGATGGAGAGGAAAAAAAACGACACATGAAGTCCACAACAAGAGCCAACCTACACATTGTAGTATAAAATGGCCAGAAGACCTCGAATTTTCAAGGAGACACCTATCCATAACCACGCGACCAGTTATAGCCACTTGCTGTGGTACTTCAAGCCCAAAGGATCTACAAAAAGAAAATGATCATGCGGAGAAAGGTATATAACAAAAAGTAGGAAAATAATGGGCAAGATCCGCAAAAAGGAGGAAAGTGGATACGAGCAGAAAATAGGATAAATAACGCGAGCGATACGTATTTCTGCTGGTTGGCTTCATCAGGCCCGAAATGAATGCACATATTATGCAACTACAGAGGTAGATACACATGCCGACGCATCCGGATACGGGTGTAACCTGAGGAAACGAAAATGGAGAGGAAAAAAACAACACACGAAGTCCACAACAAGAGCCAAGGTTGGATATACAGGGTGACTTCGAAGTTGAGTCATTTATTTTAACAGTGAGTAGATCTGATCAAAAGAAATGATTTTTTCCTTTAACATTTTTCTGGTAAAATTAAAGTAACAAAGTTATAGCCCTTTAGAAGTTTGAGTCTCAATAATAATATTATGTGCTCGTGTTTGGCAACAACGGATATAATCCGCCTTATCCGTTCATCGCATCGGAAACAAAAAAGCGAAAGAATTTGAAACGATGTTTTTACTACAATGTACAATCTTATTCAGTTGTATTCAGTCGATGTGTCAGTCGGTAACGCGTGAGTGAATAGTGGTGTTTGTTGCGTGGCTCAAACGAAATAAAAAATGGCACATGTTTAGGAAAATGCTGAATGTAGTACAAACGACTCGTGAATCAGGTGACTTAAGACCTCACAGGGGAGGGCATGCCGGTGCTCCAAGACCGCACGATCAAATACAGGTCCGCACTGAAATACTTGTCGGGAGGATACTTTATAAAACAAGGTAAACTTTTTTTTTTCTTTTTTATTTTTACACACATATTTTGGTTTATCTTCCTTCTACAATCATTATCTGAAAATTAATGAATCAACTTCAAAGTCACCCTGTATATATACGAGCAGTAGTCATTGCCATTGCCAACGACCAGTAGGGCAAAAAATACAAACAATTGTTAACTGGGATATTGGCAAAATTTTTTAGGCTTTAGTAAACTCTTTTAATGGTAATCTCGAGCTTTCGGCATTCTCTATGGAGCCATCTTTAGGAGTCGTCGCTGAGGTTGCAGCCAAATGGTGTTCCAAAACGAAAGCGTGGATGTGAGCACTTGTTACAAATATAAAACCAAAAGGACGGATACATTGGGTTTATTGACAATAACGGAAACCATCGTTAGGTGTTAACACTAATAGCGGTTCGCTCATTTTCTCCACGTGAAACAGATGTAGGAGGTTAGAAGGGCCTTTGCCGATTTTCCCCCAAAATTGCTTTTCGATAATTTTTAATGTGTTCGGGTGTATTGATATATGTATAGTGTTAACACCTACCGATGGTTTCCGTCGTTATCAATAAACCCAATGTGTCCGTCCTTTTGGTTTTATATTTGTAACAAGTGGTCTCATCCACGCTTTCATTTTAAAAGACCATTGGCTGCAATCTCAGCGACGACTCCTGAAGATGGCTCCTTAGAGAATGCCGAAAGCTCGAGATTACCGTTAAAAGGGTTTACTAAAGCCTGAAAAAAATTTGCCAATTTCCCAATTAACAATTGATTGTATCTTTATATATATATATATGTATATAATACATAATATAATATTAGGTTATAAGAGTGTACTTTTGCAATACTTTGCCTTCAACCCAAAGAAATTAAAGGATATCTTCTCCTAACAGTTAAGGCAATTAACTATGAATACTATATATATATATATATATATATATATTATACCTATTTTCAGAAAGACTGTACGAGCAACTACGTATGTGCCTTTTATTAATGGTTGATTGAGGTGTGAACAGTAAACACACAGTACCTTGAACTAAAGAAGAACATTTGGTGTTTTACAAATAGGAAGTTGAGCATATCTTGACTTTTTTGTATCTTAATACTTACCAGTGATCCAGTGCTATATCGCTTCGACTTGTAATTCGAGAATTCGTGGTAATACGTAGGGGGGTTAAACAACATTAAGGGGTAACCTTCGTAGCCTGTAAACAAGAAACAGTATGAGAAATACGGTAATATGTATGTATGTACGTATTGCTTCTTATGAAAGAGATACTCAGAGATTGAGTAACATCAACATTAAAACTGTTATTAAAACACACGAGATAATAATACGATTACCACTTGTTACACAAATCAACAAGTACGACATAAAATATAAAATTATTTTTGATAATGTTAACATGATCAATATAACACGATCTTAACACCTAATTTGAAAAAAGTATAAGTTTAACTCGGATTCTGATCAGTAGGCATAATGTTTAAACTTCAAATTCTAAAGGGATTTCTCAGCCTGCGACAACTGAAGTCTGTATATTATGCTTTAGTGCAGTCCCACCTAATGAGTGGATTTACTGAATAGAACGAAGCATCAAATAGCTATATAAAGTTGAGATAATCCAAAAATGGTTGTCAAAGGCTATCATAAGCAACAATTGTCTATACCCATCTGATGAGCTGCATGATTTGGAGTTTCGGATGTCAAACAATTGTACTTTCATTGTTTAGCACTTTAACCACACAAACACGGAAGGCAGTATGTCAATCATGCGTGTAATACTAGAAGTAATTAAATCAAACTGGCTTTCTCGAGAAGACAAAAAACTGTTGGCCAAAGATGTTTTAATTATTTTGATCCCAAATTATTTGATCAACTTCCGCAAAATGTCAAAGTAATTATGTCATGTCAAAGATTTGAAATACTTCTGAATGGCTTCATGAACAACCAAGAATGGAGGTCTATGAGCGGCATATTTAGGACTGCCACAGCAATGCCCAAACAGTTGTACAAATCATCTGATGAATCATGAATCATGTATCATAAATTTATGTAAACATTGTTATTACATGTTTGTAAGTTGTATTTTTAATGATGTTGTAGTAATCTCGCGCACAAGGATAGCCTTTTGCGGGTATAAAGATTTTTTAAATAAACGTTATTATTATCATTATTATTATTATTATTATCATTATCTTCAGATGTGCAAAGCCATCTCCAGTTTCTTTATTATTTTTGAACGATATTGTACGTATATAAATGAATTTATTCGAAAAACCATACGGAACAACTAAAGTCAGATTGGCCAGCTAAAACGAAGTGCATTATCGAAAAAGTATACTCTAATACACAGCTGCTGAAGCTCAACTTTTTCAACAGTCGTGCTAAACAGAGGATAATTTTCAGCGGGCCACTGACGATTTCAAGTTTAGTTACTTGCAGAACTCATGCAATAAAAAATTTATTTATTTATTATCATGCAGTATAATAAAACAAAGAGCATCTTATGTTAAATGAAGAAACAAAATTAAACGAATTGGAGAAGATTGAAATGTATACGTTTGCTTTCCATCTCTGTAACCAGGACCAACCTCAGACACCGCTGTTTCGTGCTCATTAGAGAGATCATCAGATTTTTCATACCCACTTCTTCGCTTTCCATTCATCTGTCTCCAGGACTACTACACCCATACCGCACTGATGAGTCACTAATGAATACGAATCAGCGCTCTTTGGAATTGATCGAAAAGCAAACATGTCAATTTCAATCGTGTCTATTTATGCATATATACATAGAAAGCCATTGTTGCTCTGTAAATACAGAGCGTCGAGCAGTTAAGAGCCGGTGGCGTAGGGGTCTTCAGTCATCTTTCATCGCATGGGATGAGGATGAAGATCAACTTCGCAGACCATTGGTAGGTGGACATCGTCAGATTTTTCTGCCACCTTCGTACGGAATTGAAAAAGATCATGTTTCCCGTGGCTAAGATAATTGAAATGATTTAATTTGGCTTTGATTACGGTTACCGATTGAACATAGTCGGAATTGAGCACCGACGATATATAGTCGGTGGAATTGAGCAACGTTTGTCTTGTAAGAGAGATCGACGGCCCTCAAGGTATCTTTTTGAACATGCTGAGAATTTTATAACTTGCTGGCGATGGCGATTTAAAAATCGTCCGCGAGCCACAGTATGGCCCGCGCGCGTGGGGTGGAGCAGCCTTGCCCTAATCCAATAATATATAGTCATGAACTGAAGTGTTATTTTGAAAACAAGGACGTTTATTTTAAACTACATAATCGATACACGTCGAATCCAGATGTTTTCTTACTAACTAAACAAAGCTAAATAAAGATGGAGCGACCCTCCCTTCAAAAATATTTACCCTGTCATTAGCTTTCCTAGGTTGTAGCAATATTTGATAAGAAAACTTATTATGGTAGTAAATTATCTTCCATGTTTTCATGTTATTAATTTCGGTAGCTTATTGAGACCTGTACGGTCTTTTGTAATTGAATCCATGAGGGTTTGGACGTCTACTGAGGTGAATAGCTAATCAGCTAGTGACACCTTTATACTAAAGCCTGTCTGTGTGTCACCTGTCGATATGAGGTATTTTAAAATGTTACTAGATAATGAGCTTTAGTTTTCTTTCACGTTTGTCGTGTGATTTCGCTTCAATTTCAACATTCTCGATTCTTTTTTATCTGATTTATGATTTGAAGTTGGAATACATTTATGTAATTTCTCAACGCTTATTAAATGAGTCTGGTTCGGTAATCTTGTACTAAAAGCTTTTGACATATTGCTACATCTCACACTGAGCTCTAAGCGGCCATAAAGCTACATTCTCACGTGACAAAAAGGCGACAGCGTGGCGCGCTTTCGCTTTCTCTTTCGTGACCCTTGGCTTGAGTGGGGAGTGTAAAATGAATCAGTGAGGGCCGTGGACTGTTCACACGGTTACGATTCAATTCATTCCTTGAAGCCGACCATTCTGTTTAAAAGTTGTGCAGTTTTGGGCTGAGTTTTTAGTGCTATGTTAGCGAAAAGGTTGTAGGAGTCACGTGAGCAGTTGTAAAATTGTAAGAAAAATCGTTGTGCCCATTGCGTCAGATATGCGTGTCGTGGACGAAAATTCGGATGCTACAACGAAAATAATATAGTGCAGAAGACTGATTACCATAAATTGCTCGTACCTTAAACGACCTTAGTTCAACGAGTACCACTGATTAAGTGATTATCGTGGAGATAGCTAACCTAATGCCATATCCGCGAGTCCGAAAAATTATCCGAGATAAACTGAAAAGCCGTCGCGTCCTCTATGAGAATTTGTCCGAGATAATCATAGATCTACTTTGAAAAGGTTACTATCTCCCCTAGATGGTCTAGATAGCGCCATAGGCAGTTATATATGAGCATATAGCTATATACCAGCATATAGATACATCCCCATCTAGGAGACTAACCTTTTCAAAGCAGATCTATGATTATAGCTTAATCTCATAGAGCAAGCCAAGATTTTTCAGTTGATCGGATAACTTTTCGGGTATTCAAATATGGAATTAGGGTACCTATCTACAGGTAGAATACGTTACTCAGTGCAATTACTGATCACATTTCGTCGCATAGACGTGAAATTAATTGCTTTTAGCCACGCAGCTTCAGGTTTGTTCGTAAAATGGTCCGACAGGTGACTGTGTCTGGGATACGGCCGTATGAATTCCGTCTATACAGAGTAGCAGAATGAACGGAATTAGTGTGGCGAGATCTTCGACACAATCACTGACAGGTTGGCAACAGCCGTACGAACAGGGCTTACATCCTACTGGTGGTGTACACGCCTAACTGCCAGGACAGGAAGCAAATATTGCTACTACAATTCATTACAGTAAGCGTTCACCAACTTATTTGTGTTGGAATGACAAATAGCCTCATACTGAGAGGACCTAACGAGAACGAAATGGCGAGGTATACGCCTGGTTGTGCGAAACAGGAATCAATACATTTATCCACATTAGTGCTCTGATGTATTTATAGCATTCGACAAGTTATTTGTGGCAGAATGACAAATAGCATCATCCGAAATATTGAAATGAAATTAAGATAAAATTTATGCTGGCTATCCGTGGCTGCGTATGCGGATGCCAGTCGAAATGGCAGGTGATATTATAAGCATCGGCCAAGATTTCGAAAGGTCACTAGTACGCCTTTTCTAAATCTACTGCCGTGTACATATATCTCTGTTTGTTTCTCTTTAAATTCCATCTTGGTGATTGTACATTAAATATTTCCAGTACGAGGCTATGGTTTTTATCCATGACAAAATTGTTAGGATTCACTGTCAGTGTCTCAACGCATGGAAATCAGTCAGACTTTAAGGTGATAAAAAACGCAGTGTAGCTTATGAATACCAGCTCTCTTAGTAGAGTGGTTCTACTGAGATCAAAGCATTTGATGAGGCGTAGCTTACTCCTTAGGGGCCCCATATCAAAATTTGTAGATTACAAAAGGTATATACACGCTTTCCATTGAATAATATGAATTGCAAGAAGTTTACTCAGTCAGAGGAGTTAGATCATCGGCAAGAGATAGCTTCATGAAAAAGTATACCTACCCTCAAAATTTTTTGAGGGGCGAGGGGTATCAGAAAATTTCGATACTGTGATTGCGAACATTTTAGAAATTCAGCTAAATGTGTTTTTGTTTTGCGATGCCCACAACACGTAAATACATGTGGGGTCATAGGTAATGATACTTTAAATGGCAGCGGTGTTAAGAGTAGAAATTAAAATAACTTTCAGATCGCCCCAAAGCTAATTTTTTTGTTTTACATTTTCCTGAACAATTTTAAGGGTAAACAAACATCTTTTTGGCAAGGTTACGATTTGTAAAAATTTCTAAAATTTGATTTCATAGTTTCTGACCGCTTCAGGTTAGGTCATATTCAAACACATTATGGAGTTCAAACATTTTGTTTCTTTAGCAAGACTATTTGGGAAGTACCGAGTCAATCTACTTGCCACTGCTTTTTTCCGATTCTTTTTCACTAAGCCATCCATAGCGGAAGAAAATTTTAGTATATCGAAATTTTCGTCCTCTAAAGACAGTACGATGCTTGATAGTCGAAGATGCCTCATAGAAGTCCTAAGACATTTTAATTTCTTTTAATTTCGAAAAGCTTCTTTCAGCTATTGCAGTTGTATTCTAGAGGGTTGAAATTAGGAAGGATGCTAGTATCACCTGTCTATACAATCCAAGGTTTAGCGCTTGATAATTTTTACTTTCAATTTAGTGCACGGCCTAAAGATCTGCGTGACATTGTGAAAAGCATAAGCATTTTTTTCGTACGTGGGGGCCCCTGTAAGCTGTATGCTGATTCATACGGCGGTAGTTATGGTCCTGGAAAAATATGAAAAGGATTCGAAACTCAAAATAATGGAAAAATCGGGAAGTTAGACTATGACACTTAAAACTTATTATAATACTGTACTGGAATATATTATACTTACTATTTACGTAGTAAATACCGTTCTGGTCTAGGAAACCATTTGGGAAGACAAACTGTGATTCGTATTCCAAGTCTATAACAAAGAGAGTCGAAATGTTAAAATATTTTTAATGATACGTGCTCATATGCCGATAAGCAAATGTACGATCATTTCCGTATATTTCTTACAGCAATTGATGACAAGGTGATACAATTTTTCCAGACTACACCAACGCGAGCCTCGGTTGTACGAAGGATTACATAATTTGATCTTCCTGTGAATACACAGGAACAACCGGCTTATTCTGCTTCTAGCCATCTTTAACCACACTTCTTGGGTATTCCAAATGGCGTGACCTTAATAGAGCAATTTATTTGTACTTGTAAGTTTCGTTTACACCAGCATCTGAACTATTATTTATTGTTCAGGAAGGTCTAATTCATAATTATCCTAATTTGGTCTGATTCTCAACGAATGTACACTTGCATGTTTTAACGAAGCTTTGACAAAATTAAGATATCGTCAAAAAATAAATTCCTTGATAGAAGGACAAGAGCTTTACTCGATTTTCCTTATCTAGGATCCTAGCGTTTGATTCGGAGTAGAGCTGGTTTAGAGTTGGTTGGATAAGAGTAGAGTTTGAGTAAAGTTGGGTTCGAGTTGGGTTATTACACTGCGATGAATGAAGTAGTGTTGAGAAATTTCATTTTATTTTATTTTATTTCATTCATATATTTCTCAACAGATACAAGGTCCAATTACAGAGAAGCACTATATAAGTGATCAAGAAATAGACACACATACAAAAAATAGTATCATGTATTGATGAAAAAACCGCTATGTGTTTATATCAGAAATCAACACAAAAAACCATCAGTGCAGTAGTAGCATATGCAAATTAACATATTCCTGACTGTTAATTCTACTCCTAAAATACATAAAGTTGCATACTAAAAGGTACTGAAAAGCGAAGCAATGGTTTACGTCACTGATCAGTTTTTTAATATGACAATGTTCTTCTCTTTATATGATAGATACGTTCACTCATATCAAAGTCAAAGAGATAGCTAAAATCGTTAAACATTTCGACATTCTGTGTGAAGGGGACGCTAGCATAATATTTGTTGAAGATTTAGGTAGATAAAATAGTTCCTACTAACTAGGCACAGTAAACTTTAAATGAATTTCACCAGTCAATCTGGTTGCTTAGCAACTTATGCACAACGCAAATATCTGATCAAGCCAAAGTGATATAAAAGATCCTTCTTTGGATAGTTGAATGGGGGATATGCATCATATACTTTTAAATACAGATATACGAGTATTAAAAATTTCGTTTGGATTTTCTCGACTTTGGACTTCGAAGTTGAGACATTTATTTTAACAGTGAGTAGATCTGATCAAAAGAAATGTTTTTTTCCTTTAACATTTTTCTGGTAAAATTAAATTAACAAAGTTATAGCCCTTTAGAAGTTTGAGTACCGCCCTGTCTCAATAATAATATTATGTGCTCGTGTTTGGCAACAACGGATATAATCCGCCTTATCGGTTCATCGCATCGGAAACAAAAAAGCGAAAGAATTTGAAACGTTTATCACGATGTCAGTCAATGTTTCAGTCGGTAACGCGTGAGTAAATAGTGGTGTTTGTTGCGTGGCTCAAACGTAATAAAAAATGGCACATGTTTACGAAAATGCTGAACTTGTGAACTTGTGGACATGATTCTTATTTAATCGAGTGCAACCAACCCCTCGTGCCTTTGTTAATGTAGTACAAAGGGCTCGTGAATCAGGTGACTTAAGACCTCACAGGGGAGGGCATGCCGGTGCTCCAAGACCGCACGAACAAATACAGGTCTTCACTGAAATACTTGTCGAGAGGATACTTTATAAAACAAGGTAACATTTTTTTTTAATTTTTTTTTATTTTTACACACATATTTTGGTTTATCTTCCTTCTACAATCATTATCTGAAAATAAATGAGTCAACTTCAAAGTCACCCTTATAAAGCAGACCAGATGATACAATCATATTCACGTAAACTTGAAACTAACGTGAAATACAGTACCTTTAATGATTCCGTGTTAGCAAAAGATCTACAATTTCGAATAATGGGAAGTTTCTGATGAGAAGAATTTTGGTTGATTGACCACAAAAAAATAAACCAAGTCTTAGAATTTACCATTGTTTCGTGTGCAAAACAGATATTTGTTAACGTGAAACAACAAATAATTTCAGTTGGAAAATTATTTTGGACATTTGATGCTGACGATGATATTGTATTTGATGGCTAAATCCCAAAAACACTATTTTTACATAAAAGTAATGTTACGTTTAATCATGAAACATCTAGCACGAGAAAGCTAGCTCCAATTGGTTTAATCAGCGCATATCGAGTATTTTACTTCCCATGCCTGCACATAAGATTACTACTATGCCAAAGATGAACAAACTTTATAGCTTGAAAATCGGTCCAGTGGCATCGAAAAAAAAATAAAAATTGCCCAAACTTCGTTTTTGTGACGTCTCAGAGGTTCCTGATTATTTTCAGAAAAAAATTTGTTGGGATTAAGAATCTGAGATTGGGGTTGTATGGGTGGGGGAAGGTTTATCTCATTTTGTTGGCGGCATTTAATTTTTTTGTTATAAATGTTTGTAGCGAGCTCAAAAGGACTAACTTGAGCTTTATGAACTGATGTCAGCCTTGCGTGGGAAGTGCAGAGTCAACCTGCTTGATGCCATTCCTTTTACGGATGTCTTTGAAGCGGGACATAAATCTCAACATAGAGTTTGTACCCCAGCCGTCACGAACGCAGCGACAATTTAACTCTAGTCTCTCATGACCGTTTAGACTAAACTAAGAACTTATAGAGTTAACTCGAGTTCACGCTATAAATGCAACCCCGCAAACACTTTATCGTTGTCTTTGTAATTATTAACTGTAAGATTTAATTGCGATCGACGTTAAGAAAGCCTCCATTCCTAAGTATTTTTAACTGATACGATATTTTCTATTCCGGCGTTTGCTTAAGAAAGTAAAATTGTAATGGTTATTTTCTAAGTTACCTGTAGATTGGTAATCGGGAGTACCGTTCCCTGTCGAGTTCCCTGTCGATGTAGTTGAAGTACCCGTAGATGTCTGCGTCTGGTAGTTCTTTGGTTTGTTCAAATATCCCTTCTTGAATAGTACATCTTGCCTTGGGGTGGTGATTCTTGTGTATTCATCTGGAACAACGAGTATGCTGTTAACATTTATTAACTTGTAGCTATATTTTTAGGCCCATAGAGACAAACTGACGTTCAGGTCTGCTGTTTACATTTGCAAAATATGACAAATTCATATCATGGAAATTCAGAACGACAGATGGATGATAAGTAGGTCTAGACCTTGACTGGTCCGACGTTGTTCTATAGCAGATATTCAAACATAGGTACAATTCCAAAATTTCGGAAATACAAACTGAATGCAAGTTGCTGCAAAATTGTGTCATAAATTCAAGCATTCCATCCACTTTTTCACTTTAATCATGCGTATTGTGCAAATGTCTAGGAGTACTTATCCGAAGTATACTGCTAGGGACGTCGTGCGTACTTTGAGATACAGATAAATAACTTCCCGGCTGTGTTTATATTCTTGTTCCCTTGGTCCGTATTTTGAACTGTTTTCGCAGAAATATCGCTAGTGCTGTGAGCTGTGTATATTTTACAGCTTTTATCGCACAGCCACCCTCTGTTGCGGGATTCAGTGGACTACACAGTGGAACAAGTTCACAAACATTCAAGGCCACGTATAGTAAGCCCAAAATTATGCTCTAACAGAACCTGAATCAAAATTTGTTTCTCTTTCACCTCGAAATTATTTTGTGTGCCAAGTCAAAAAGCCTCGATGTTTCCTCTTGAACCGATACACTTCTCTTCTTTTCTTTCCCTTTCTCTTTGTCCTTGACATTATCTGGTTTATGGGCAACTAGGACTGACAGATTCCACTAACGTACATTAGACACAGACTAATGAACAAAGGTTCTACGGACCGTCCAGACAAACAAATGATGAATAGTAATGTTTATCTTTTACTGCTTCCAAATTTCGGAGATCCTTATATCCCTGATATTATTACCATTTAAGGATGTCTGCAGCATAAATAATTCATCTGTAGGATTGTATGTTTCGCTCCTATATTTTTTAACCTAACAGCCAAACCGTATCATGACCTAGAACCTGGGCCTTATCAGCAGTGCCAGCCTCAAAATAGTGCACGCGGGTACAGGATTGAACATTAGCTGTCCGAAATAACAGGTTGATACGTTGTCGATATATTTAAAAAACAAGGTTGTTTACAATGTAAAATTCAACAGTAGTTTAAAATGGATATGCCAAAGGATATAGAAACAACGCACATTCATAACACTGCTTGGTTTGAGGATTAAACTTACAGATTAGATTATATTTAACATTATATTAGACAAGTAGACTGACAACAGCATTCATTTATTAGCTTCCCATTAGATTCCATAGTTTTTAACACAACTCTGGCATGTAGCACTCCGCTTATAGGTTATGTCTCCACAGAGTCACCGGAGTTCTTTAATGTTCCCTATGAATCCGCTAAGCAGCCTTTTTCGTTAGGTTAAAGAGCTTCTTCTGTTCTGTTCATAACTATTTTGCACATTTCAGCATCTGTCCATTCTAAGTGGATTGCCCCTTATGTCCGGTCTTGGTCTAGCCTCGGGTCTAGCACACCAAAGGAATGCTACTACTTCTATCCAGAAAAACATTTTTTGTGATTTCCTACCTCGTGGACAATATAATCACACCATACACAACCAGTTTGGTAAATACTTGGAATAAAATGCCTAAAAACAACTACCTGACTACCTGGGCACAACAAGTGGCCGCCTTGTCAGCTTTTTTACTTCAGTCCAGGATTTAATCCGAGCTCAATAAACAAGCCGTTTATTTGTATCAATAATGCTTAGCTTTTATGGCGAGGAGCGAAAGCTCACATGGCTTCTTATATGATACCATCACCCAATGGTCTATAACAGTGAAAGGCTGACAAAAAAATCAGTTTGTCAGGCATTTACACGATTTTCAGTACAATATAGCCTTTTTAGTCGCTGATTCCAAATCTGGGGTTAGTTTGTATCCATTTCGTCATATGAAGTATATTTCCAAAGGCAGTAGCAGTTGACCCTAACCGCATGTCATTTGGTGAAGAGAAGCACCAAGTCCAAATCAGAGGCCAATTAGTCACTATAAGGGTATCTGAAAGTCATTCAAGCTCATTTCAAAGACAAATTCAAAAGTCCAGCATTTGAGTTCAGACCGGCGTCATATAGGTACTCGCGGTCGTTGAGTGCAAATCATACATCAGTAGGTCTCCGTAAGGCTTTTGAAGGAAATCTTAAGGCCACTGGAAAAACAAACTCGAAATAGTTGGGTCTCGAGACTATACGTTAGAGAAAAGCCATCGATCGGTCGGACAGCCCTCTTTGAAAAAGCATCGAGCATGGATAATGTAGCTGGGATGGTAGCAACCCCAACATGTGAGCAGTACTCGAGGCTAGGTCTTATCTGGGCCTTATACAGAATGAGGAGGTCATGTGGAGAAAAGTACTTCTTAGCCCTAAACAAATAGCCTAGATTTTCCCCAGAAGCTGCCGGTATTGACGAGATGTGTTCGTGCTAGATCAAGTTCTCGGTGATCTGGACTTCGAGCAGCTGAAATGCTGAACTCGGCCATCCATCGAAACCGGATTAGCGCTAGGTCGCTTCTTGTCCGTCAAAGTACAATACTGTGTTTTGGAAGCATTAAACTGTACAAGATTGTGGTGTCCCCAAGCACTGATAACCTCCAAGTCTCTCGTCGAAGAGAAAGTATCTGCTAGACTTCTTTTCTCCAGCTCACTGGCAGTATACACGATTGTATTTCTTAATAGTAGGCAAACGTTAGCAAAACTTAACACTACATTCTATCTGGTAGTACTTCAAGGTTCACAGGCATAATCTATTCCAAGTGGGGCCATGGGTGGAACCTAATTAAAAACCTTTCTGAATAATAATATAATAAAGTGAAGCTAAAAATAATCCGTTCAGTTCAAGGTGTACATAAAAACAACAATAATGACAAATTTCTGTTACATCAAATAAATGTTCGTACTTTCTTTATTATGATCCATATCCAGATGCTCAAATACTTTCAATATACAATCCAATGGATAAGTCAAAAGCTCTTCAATTTTGCCGTTAAAAGGTAGTGCGGAATGCTACACCACAAACTTCAAAATTAATAATCTGCCATGATATAGGTAGTATAAGTATAGATCTTATTCCATGTCCAACGTATTATTTAAGGTATTAACTTTGCCAGAGGAAATAGTTTTAGTTCATTTTCAAAACTTTGCCTTTTCAATTTTTGCTAGGTATTCCCATAGATGGACCACTGTAAATAGTCTTGATGGTTCGTAAGTTGTGCCATTCAACGTCTCCGATCTTTGTGTGCCATGTTGTTGTTTGAAATGACCGATATGAATACCGTCATAAAATTTTATTCAGTGTTCAGATTTCGACGTTCACATCCAATATTTGCAGTAAACAAGCTGTGATCTACAAGTACCTCCGGTGTTGTCATTAAAAATTATCAGATTCAATGTTTGGTAACACTGTTGCTCCACAAACAAGGCTTCAAATGAACACAGAATATCAGACGTCAAGATTTACCATGCAACACACCGTGAAGTCTGTCATGCTTCCCCATTAGCGTCTATTTCTGCGTTTGTTCTAAGTTTAGAGCCGCATGCATGAGGGGCGTTGAATAATCTGGAACCAAGCGGTGGAGCTTCTAAGAAAAGCGATAACTATTCCACACATCGTTTTTGACTTGTAATGAGTCGATTATTCTTGCTATCTACTGCTAAACAGATATAAAGACGATAAATTAGCTGTCGATTTGTCGATACCATTCAAGCTCGTTGGGCACTGTGGAGGATTTCCTAGCTTACGTCACGCAACTGTGGATTAAAGTCATCTAGTCTTATGACGACGCTCATGTAGTTGCTGTTGATATCGCGAAAGCGTTCGATCAGCAAGCTGCCCTCTTATGCAAACTTTCATCCCATGGCTTCCCAGCTTAACGGGCTTTCCTCTTCATCTCACAATATCAGCGCATGTACGCCTCAAGGATCAGTCTTGACTCCGATAGTACTATACATGCAGAGATTCAGAATGACAAGTCGATCTCTGCAGGTGAGCTAGAGAAAAGCCGAGTAGCAGAGGCTTCCTCTCTGACGAGAGACCTGAAGGTCATCATTGTTTGTAGACACAATAATCTGGTACAGTAGCACATGCATGAAAGTGCATTTGCAGACAAGTTCTTCTTCTTTAATCAGGCGAGATGTAGATTTCGCTACAGTAAGGACAGTAACACTTGGGCACAAATATCAATTGATTAGTAAACAAAGTTGAGATGAGAACAGTATTCATCGTAAAACGGATGACCTTCTTTTCGAATAATAAGCACCCTTCTTATGATTTGTATTTTTTTCTGTAAAACACAATGCTGCTGTAAAGAAGGGTAAATAGTGGAGCTTATTGTTACCAGCGAATCAATTATGCCCATATTTTAAGAGTTAGTATTGACTCAGTTGCTTGCCTGCATCGGAATCTTACGGAATCTGTTAGTATTATTACTACTAGAAATTGTTGAATATTTCCTTTTCAGCAGCTTCGGTTAGCAAATCGGCTAAATTATTCTACAGCTAAGGCTCTTGAAATAATACAGATGATTAGCTCGATCACCAACGGTAACAACATAGCCACAAGCTCCGGTGTGTTCCAAATTTTAACACGATATATTTAATAGTTTCCATAACGGTGATATACAGAAGAATGTGTTACTGAAAAACAAAAAGCTCAATGTTAGCATTTGTGTTTTATTCAACTATGTCATTATGTTCCAATGTGAAACTCAATAATAAAATAAAACCAGGGCTTGTGCTTTTCGGCTAGATCATCCAATAAATAATTAGAAATATTGTATAACATCATGTTATTTCTACCTAGTTTATAGCGCCTTGAACTACCCATTCAAGATGAAGGTAAATTTTGTTATGCAAATCTTTCATTCTCCACAGTATCTACTAAACAATTTATTTGAAATTAACACTGTCTCGGTTCTTTTCGTGTTGATGAGCCCTTTTTTATTGCCATTGCCGTTTACCTTAGTT